CTGTTTACATAATCATGAACGAGTAATAATTTGATCTTTACACCAATCACATACCTTTGCCTTTAAGTGCTCCTTGCATAATTAAAGCACAAATAATACTTGCATTATAAAATAGTGCACATCATTTGAAATTCACAATGTATAACCAGATAATTTAACCCAGTCAATCCTATACATGATACTAAGTTCTCGATCCGTCCTTAAACATGCACCTACAAGCAAGGTTTCGTATCTTGTACGTACCTTGAGCAAACGAATTGGTATGCCACTTTACTAACTAGAAATCACCTTCAATAAACTCCTCTCCTAAGCCAAATAATAACATCTCAATCAATACCCAATCAATCAAATTTACAGCAATACTAACTTACTTTAAAACCTTCAAAATCCAAATCAAACAACACTTTAAAACCTTCCCTTTAGTTAAAATTAAAGGCTTATATATAGTTCTTTAAATTTTCTTCATAAAAACCTTAAAATACACTCTTATACATGAAATTACAGCAAGTTCAAAGTCTAATAAAAATCTGAAAATTATATAAAAACCCCTAAAAATCTCCCTTTTTAATGGGTGATTAAACCCTCTTTATAAAACATCAAAAGTAGTACTTAGAAACTATTTTCAACACTTAAAACTTCAATAAAAACATGTATTTATACTTAATTAACTTTAAACATAATTAATTTTATTAATCAAACTCAAGGATAATATTTTAAGTATAAAAAAATTTCGTTAAAATCAAAAACTGCCCGAAAATCATATTTAGAGGCCACATGTAAAACACTACTTTTTTATCAAAATTGGATGAGTTCATAATCTGATCGGGATTAAAACGGGATTAATATTAACGAACGAAAATCTAAAAACTAAAACACGAATCTACGTGTTCAAAATAATCTGGAATTAAGTTAAACTAATCAGTAGTTATAATCACCAAAATTTCAAAGCATCATTACTATAAAATCCCTAAATCAATTGTTCATAAAAACCCTAAAATCATGATTTTCAATAAATTGAAACCCTAGGTTTATAATTCATAAAATATGAAATTTATAACATAAATATAATCTGAAATTTATAATCTTTATACCATTACAATATAATTTGATACTAAAAATATAATCTTTATACTAAAATCAAAACCCAAAACAATTAAATTAACAATAAGCAAAATAATGAAACAAAGGAGGATGAAAATAAGACTAACCTTTTTGTGTGGGAAATTTTTGGAGATTCATGGGGTATTTATAGGAGAGAATTATTGTAGGGTAAAAAGAAATATTGGGCCTCATAAAAATAATGGGTCGATTAAGTAAACAAATGGGTTAGGCTTGTGTGATTGGACATAAATTGTAGAATAAAGATGCATATATAAAATAATTTGTTCAAATAATTTTCGAACCAGATTAATAATTTGAAACTTTTGAAATTAAATTATGAAAAATCACAAATAAATATTATAAATAAAATAAATTTTCATTTATAAAATATTTAAAAATACGGGGGATTACATATTTGCTTTTTTCAAGTACCATTAATATTATTTTTTTTACCAAAATTCTCTAACATTATTTGCTAAAATATTTGTACAAATTTAACTTTCCCATGTAAATTTTATTTTCTCATGCACTTTAATTACTTCCTCTCTCTATTTTTTTGCATACCCAATGTAAATTTACTTTTTCAATGTACTTTCTTTATTTCTCCTTAATTCCCATGATTTTTTTTTTAGCAAAAGTGACTACCAATCGGGATAGAGGGAGTAGTATATATTTGTTGTATGGTCAAAGGAGATAGTTATTTAACTAAATTATAAACTATAGTTCCCTATTATGTTGCCATATACTTCGTATATTATAGTCAAAGGAAATAATTAGCTCGATAAAAATGATAATTATCTATTTATAGTTAGTTGAACCCGAATATTACCTGTCTTGGAAATGACCCGACCTGATTGTAACCTGCAAATTATTGACTTGAACATAACCCGACTTGAATCCGAGAATGATCTGAATTGGAAATGACCCAACCTGATTATAACCCACAAATTATTGACTTGAACTAAACCCGACTTGAACCTGAGAATGACGCGACTTGAAAATGACCCGACCTGATTATAACCTGCAAATTATTGACTTGAACTGAACCCGACTCAAACCCGAGAATGACTCGACCTGATTCTAACTTGCAAATTATTGACTTGAACCGAACCCGAGAATTACCCTATCTCGTTTTAACACGTGAAAACCCGAATTAAACCCGACCTATTGTTCACCCGACCCAAATGTAACCCGGCCTTTTATTAACCCGACCTAAACCCGATAAGAAGTATGACCCGACGTGACCCGACTCAAGCATGACCCAACCCAAACCCGACCCGCATAGGTTATGAAATTAATCCGAATTGACCATACCCGAGTTGACCCGACCCAAACCGACCCGTTTTCTCGAATTGACAGCTGTAGGTGTGGTTCTTATTAGTTTATTGCAATCCTAAATAACATATTTTCCCACATAATTCCAGTTATAACTCCAATCATTTGTTCATTTGTAGATAAGTCTTAACATATAGGTTTAGCCAAAGAATAATCAATTTAAGACTTTTTTGAACTAGCTAGTAGTAACTTTTTGTCCAAGTTTATTGTTTCATGAAAAGTCACTTCGTACGTACAACTAACCATTAATTCAAAAATACGTGTTATTCTTGGCATTGCATGATCGATGTTGGATTGTGGAAGGTCAAGGTCTATCTCAGTTACCTAATATAATGTCATCCTTCGTAACGTCCAAAATTAAAAGTCATATTGATACATATTAGGGGTAATTTAATCTGATGTTTTGCTACTAATTAATGTAACAAATAATTTTGGATAAATAAAGTCTACTTAGTAAAGGATGATTTTATGGTTGTCATTTGATGAAAAATGCATAATTTTAAAATGAACGGTTAAGATTATTGGATTTTAAATTATATTTAAATGTGAATAATATAAATCATTTATATTATTTCGTGAGAAATTTATTTATTTATTTTTAATTTTATTAATAATTAAAACTAAATATTTTTTTAAAATTAAATTGATAAAAAGTTAGAAAAATTAATTTTCAAAAGTCAAAATATAACAATGCAAGTTTGAGCGTTAAACTTCATCAAAGAACTGTACTATATGTACGTGTAGCTACAAATTTTCAATTTTTTTTTTTTGGGCTTAATACCAATAATAATAATATAACCGAATTAAAAAATCGACAAATAGTTCAAAATAACTTTAAACACATCTACGTCCAAACATAGTTGATCATTTAATTCAATATATATGATCTAGAATTCTAGATATCTATTATTTATGGATCTAACAAATCTAATTCGTAATTATTTATATTATCAGTAATTTAATTTGATAGTTAATTTCATTGAAAAAATTGTGTATTTTCTTGCAGTAACAATAAAATGCCTGCATGACAATTAATTTGGGAAAAAAAATTCAATTATTATAAAAACATTCAGTCAAATCCAAACATGACCGAACTATGTTCCTATGAATTATTTTTTGTAGGTATACTTGTCTTGGCAAACTTAATTAAATTCCTCAAAAATTCGGTTTTAGGTAATAATGATAATGGAGTACATTGTACATATTAATGTGTGTGGTTCCACCGATAAATTTTATCCATAATGAACTGCATATTTGCTTTGACGTTTGTGAGTTCTATTTTGTTGTGTGACTAGGAATCCAATACATACTTATATCGAAAGATATACATAAATGTATCGATTATGCCATCCACACTTCTATTTTTAAAAATTCGACTCAATTACTATAGTTATATACTTTTTATACATGTGTAAAGTTTATCTATCTTCACTTTGTCGGTTGATGAGAAATGTACGCTTTTGATTTAGGGCCTAATCTGATTGAATATTGTATGAGTATTAGAAAATCTCTCCAATTAATTTGAAACCAATACAATTGTACTATATACTAAAATCATTCTAATAAAAAAATGTCAGAAGTGGGGTTCGAACCCACGCCCTCGTAAGAGGACCAGAACTTGAGTCTGGCGCCTTAGACCACTCGGCCATCCTGACTTATTAATGCTATTATCATTAATTTAATTACGGATTTACATCAACCATGAAAGATAAACATCATGTGAACGTCTGTTAATTACAGATACAATTAACAAATCATGCAAATAAAATACTTCGTATATAATATGGTTTTTAAATATTTTTGGTATTATTTTATGGACTCGGTACAACCACTTTGATCCCTATGGTCCACCATGATTTTAATGGGCTTGGTGCACATTTGATCCAACTTCATTTTTATGAACCGGTTATAGTAGTAAGCCCAAATACATGGCCTACAGAGTATATACCATTTTTTTTTTTTTTTTGAGAAGGTAAGAAGAAATAAACATTAGGAAATAGGAAGCCCACCTCATAAGGGGAATTCTAATGTAAAAATGTAAGATTTTCACCACTAGAACGCGGGATCTATAACTAAGTACAGACCGTAGTTGGTTAATAGCAAAACACTACAATCCCTAATATAACCAAGTTATGATCACCTTAATCAATCTAGCTTATTTACGACTATATTATTACTGTACTATTACCATGTAAGTTGTAAAGTGTGTACACTTTTTTTCCTTCATAAAACTACTAGTTTGAATCTGAAGCATGCAATAGCAAAAGACGTATGAAAACATTTGGAAACTACTCGTAGTAGCACAAGATCATCAATCCAGAAATATAAAATATACACAAACTCGAATAATTTCATTATTTCTTATACAAACAAGTACACGGTACAACAATTGAGGACATTTATTACATATAATCTTAACATCCAAGCATTAGTAAATGAGTAAACAAATCGAGGAACGAACTAAACAACACAGCTTATTTTTTCATAATTTTTAAATAAAGTATAAAATTCACGGTATGTACTTGTAGGAGTACATGAAAAAGTGAGTATATGGGCAATTTTAATTAGTAAGGAGGAGACTTGTAGTCGTAGGATGGAGGCTTGTACGAAGGGGACTTGTAGGAGTGCTTGGGTGAGTGGTGATAATAGTGTGGTTCAGGAGACTTATAATAGGATGGAGAATAGTAATACGGAGGAGACTTGTAGGGTTCGTAGGACTTGTAAGGTTTAGGAGACTTGTAGGAGTACGAAGGGGACATGTAGGGTTCGTGGGACTTGTAGGGTTCGTGGGACTTGTAAGGTTCAGGGGACTTGTAGGAGTACGAAGGGGACTTGTAGGGTTCGTGGGACTTGTAAGGTTCAGGAGACTTGTAGTAGTACGAAGGGGACTTATAGGGTTCGTGGGACTTGTAAGGTTTAGGAGACTTGTAGGAGTACGAAGGGGACTTGTACGCCTTGTAGGGTGGTGACTCATGATAGTATGGTTCAGGGGACTTGTAATAATCATAGTGTGGTGGAGACTTGTACTCGTATGGAGATCGATCTTTGTAGTTGTCGTATGACCCTGCAGCTACATTAGTGAGCAATGGAAGTAGTGTAAAGGCGCAGGCAAAAATAATAAGCCCGGAAGTAGCCATTATTGTACGTGTTGTGTGCAGGCTATTTGTGAATGTTGCTTCTAACTTGGAAGATATATGCCTCATTTATATAGGTAACATATCGTACGATTTGGTGAAGGGTTTGTACTTTGTAACATTTGTTAGTTGGATTTTCGTTGAAGATTTCAACCTTCAAACACATATATATCATAGCTGATCACATACACCCCCTTAATTTCAAATTTAAGATTGGTTTGTTAAGTCATCTTATATTTATTTGTCCGTTCACGTTACACACGAATACATGTCTAACGAAGATGACATTATTTTCACCTTATCTTTATTTGCTCTTTTACTATGTCAAAACTACATTAACTAATCAGACAAATTACAACATCTAGCTAGAATCGGTCTACGTAAATGTACATCATGATCATGACCCTTAGCCTAAAACATAAAATTCTTCTTTTTTTTTTTTTTTTTTTTTTTTTTTAAGTAGAAATGGTCTGTTACACCCTTAGGGCTGGAAGTCGTACCTTGATTATTCATTACAAGTACAGTGTTTGACTTTGCTCCTACCAATTCTGAGATCAGTAGATTTATTTAGCTTATTATGTATGTAAAGGTTATTTGACTTTGTTTTTCTGAAAATTGGATTCATTAGCTTGAAATTTATTATGTGAGCTGATTAAAAAATGATCCATAAATTCAATATGCTATACTATGATCATGTATAAGCTAAAGTTGCAATTCATATAAGTTTGGTTCATTTATTAGCTCGAAGTTTATAGTCATTTATAACTAATTTTCGACATTGGCTAATTATTATTTTTTATTTACTTATGTGTTATGTCCATCTGTTACAAATTCTTTTTCCCCTTCTCTTTTTACTTATGTAAAGCAAATTATAGCTCAGCTCATAACTAAATGTGTTGAAGAATAGGCCTTTTAAGTTTCACGACATACTCCTATTGTCATATAGTTTTGGGATTCTTTGGACTTGTAAAGTAATCTCTCTCTCTTGATTTGCGGATACGATCCAGACCCGTATTAACAGAATGCCTTCAATGAATATGCACTTTCAAATACTTAAATCCTAGTATATATCTTGACGAATTCTTATAAATAAATTTGGTCAATTATAGATGACATCAGGAACGTGAAAATCGAATTAAAATTAGAAGGTTTTGGAGTTGTTAAAATTGGATCTCACCATATTTGAAATTATGTAATTAGTTTTATGTTTGACCGTTGACTTTATGAATCTAACTCAAGCAAACTTGAGCTTTTACAATAATTCATGATTTTCAACATTTTAATTCAGCTCTAGCATTTTTTGAGCCGAATTCATATTTGAGCATCCATATTCAAGCTCATAAATTCATAAAAGCATGATCTCTATCTTCAATATGCAATAAGCATGCAACATTAACAAAATATATGCAACATTAACAAAATATGCTTGGTTATTAAATGGACCTGTATATGTTACTCAAACTTAGGTACTCGATCATATTCAAGTGTGCACACTCAGATGAATTCGTCTTTCTTTATTATTACCACCATATATATAATAGCATAAGAAGAATGATAGAGACGTGGCTCACAAAACAAAGAGGAAGAAGACATTTAAAATAGAGAAACAGGATGTAGAGTGACATGAGATTGAATAATAAATATGCAGTTATTTATACTATCATATAGTAGAGCCACACAATAAACATAAATTCCGAAATCATAATTTACAATCCTAAAACAATATAATCGTCCAATTTCAAAAGAAAACAATCCTATTTAATTTATTATAGAATCACCACATCAATACCTTCTCGAATTTGCTTTGCAAGTAGTTGTATTTGTTTTCTCCAAAGGTTGATATTTTCAGTCATAATAATATTTGCACAGTCCACATGTATGTGTGTATTTTCATCCATTTGGGAATGATGAATATTAAAAATTAAGTTTTTAAGATTGGAAGCATGCTCGGCCAGAAAAGATGCTAGATTCACCTCTGATTCAGTTCCTGAAAAACGAGCAAACTCTACAGCAGCAAGGTGCTTATGGGCACGTATTCTTTCAATTTGAACATCACTTTGTACAAACTTTGCCGCCCTCTTTCCAGGCGATCTTGATAGTCCAGGAGTGGGAAAAACCTACAAACCAACATCAAATGATAGATAGACCAACCATCATTAAATTAAATCACATCTTAATTAAGCATTTGTTAAATTTGTAAGGTCAAAACAAAAATTTTACCGGTGTGCAACACAGGGCAGGCCTCAATGAAAGGGATCAAAGCAAGAAGGTCGTCTTTTCCATCTTTTAAAAGCGTAACATATATCCCCAATTGCTTAACATTAGGAAAACTCGGAAACTTAGTTGGAAGAGATTTTTTCTGCGTACAACATTAGAACAACCCAAATCCAGTTGAAGGTTAAATATACAAGACATTAATACTATACAATAAACAAGTAATTGATTTGGACACATAATAATTAAAATAGTTAAGCATCGGACGACTAACCTTTAGAGACCAGGAAAGAGAGAGTTGCTCAAGTTGATTAGAAAAGTTTGAAAAGACGTTCAATTTGCGATCGTGGTACCAATATCCACCCTCAAAGGTTACATTTACAAGCGCCGGAACACTAGTATATTGTATTTTTGTATCAACACCCATGAATTTAAACCAAGTAAGATTTGGAGCTGAAATCTGAATTGATTTAATGTTGTCGCAGTCATATAACTCTAAGTGCTTCAGCTTAGAGGAGGAAACAACAACTTGTGTTTTAGGTAAAATCCCTACCGATCCACACAAGTAAAATATACAATTATTGACGGTTAGACGATCAAGATTGAGACAATTCGACAAAACATGTTCAACCACATCTCCCTCGACTACTAATGTTTCCAAGTGAATAGTTTTGAGGGTAGTAATTCGATTATTGGAGAGAAAATCCTGTCGAAGTATGTAACCATTGGTCTCCATACAGAGGCCAATACTAGTTGAGAAGTTCAACTCCAAGTTGCGTACATTTTTGGTCAGGGCCATAGCTATCCACTTATCAATATCAGCAGTATGTGACTCATAAAGAGGAAAATGAATTCTGAAGGTGTGGGTCCAACCCCAGTGTGGGTCGATCAAGTAAAAATCAGGGTGTTCGAAATCAAGATGAGCTAAGTAAGTCCAAACATATCTCCACCTTTTGGAAACAAGGCTAGTTCTTACTGCTGATTTCATGTCCACAAAAGATAACAAGTGCAACAATACATCATTAGGCAAATCACTAATTCTATCCACATTGTTATTATTATTTTTGCTTCTCCTTCTCTTTGGAATAAGGTTGAAGATGTCTTTTGAGCTAATAATAGTCTTATTATCATAGTCCTTCAAATTCCTCGAACCACAATTTAAAGCTCTGTTAATGATCAAATCCATAGTCGAATAGACGAATACAACTGCCTCCTTAATCAATAACATAAAAACTAGTTAGTACTAGAGCCAGAATTATAGATTATTGTTTGATACTTAATCGTTTAACCAGTATTATACATTAAACTAGTTTGTATGCTTCCACACAAGTAAAATTCACACAATTCTCGCAAGTAAACTAGTTAGCATTAGTAGTCGAGGGAGATATTAGGTACAAATTAACATAAAAACTAGTTAGTACTAGAGGGCGTATTAATTAGGTACAAATATTGCATACAGATTGATAATTATAAACAATTTTTATTTTAATTTAATATCAGAATGTATATAGTATTAGTATATAGTTCAATAGTCTAAGAACCCTAAATTAACGAACCAGAGGATTTGATTAAATTAAATTAAAGAAAGATTTGATTAAATTAAAGGTAGTGTGAAAGTAAACCCTAGGTTATACATATTCCAATGATTAAAAAAAAAATGCATACCTCAATGTAGCGTGAAAAAATCGATCTGAAATTGCTAGGCAAGGCAAGGCAAAAGCTTGAAGGCTATATATTCTTATTGAGCATCCAAAATATTAACTTAAAAGAAAATAATATTACTCATATCTTTTTGTTTGTTTGAAGGAAATCATATCATATAACTAATATATAAAGCTAAACTTAATATATAAAGCTAAACTTTTAGCCAGGCGACAAGGTAACGACACTTGGCATTCTAACTTTTCGCCAAGTGTCGTGCCACGTAGGATAGAGTTATATGAAATTCAATTTGTAGGACAAAAAAGTTAAGTTAGTTTATAATTTTATTTTCAATCAAATTTGGATAGAATTTTAGGATAAAATTGTTAATTTAGAGTTTTATTTTTGATAAAGTACCAAATATTTATTATAATTTTATTCAAAAAATAATTAGATTATAACTCTCATAAATTATCTTATAGATTTATTTTTTGTATCATTATATTTTCCTGGAGCGAAGAAATTAGTTCAAAATGTACCTTATCCATTGTTTATAATATATTCTAATCAATTAAAATAATATACTTCACAATCTAATATAATTTTATTACTGTGTGTAGACCTGTCAATCAAGTCGGGTCACCCGTCATTTCAGACAGGGATCATTATATGTCTACAAGTTTAAATCTAATCGTCACAAAAAAAAAACATCAATTCCTAACTAATTTTGTATATGTTTTAAAATTTGACATATAGATTAAAAATATATTTTAAAATTGAATAAACAACCCGGGCATTGCACGGACACAAAACTAAAAATATTATATAAGGAAACATTCCTAATTTAATTTTATATGCCGATAAAATATACACAAATAATAATCTACTTAGGATTTAAATTATTTTTTTAAAAAAAAAACTTATCAAATTAAAAATTTTACCCTACTATTTGATGACTGTAAAATATATACTCGTACCGTACAAATTAAAGTAATTATTTTGACTAACAAAAATAAGTGCATGCTATTCAAAATCAAGTCAATCAAACACAATTAAAAATCGACTCAAAATGTTAACGTGAAAAGTCAAACTACCCTAACACGAACTCGAGCATCAATTAAGCACCCCACTAAAGTAGAACACCCCGTAATTATGTATGTAAGAAGCCGCCCAAGCCAATCCCAATTTCAAAGACGCGCGCTAACTCTCTCTCTCTCTTTTTTTTTTCTTAATTAAAAAACGTATTAAATACTCAGAGTTTGTTATTCCTCCTCAAGACCTCAACCTCTCTCTCTCTCTCTCTCTCTCTCTCTCTCTCTCTCTATTTTCTCTCTCTAAAATCAGCAACTCAAATACACTCAATTTCTCTCTCTAAATCAACAATGGAGGAGAATAGACTAGCTAAACTCGCTAAAGTGGAGGAGAAGACTCAAGAAACAGAAATGGCGGATCATCAGAAAACAGAGGATCATCATCATTCTTCTCAAGAAACAGAAGAGAAGACGGAAATATCGGCAGAAGAAGCAAAGGAGAAGAAGAATATCTCACCACCTAAAATGGCGGAGCAGCAGATAACTGAGATTGATTTTGATGTAATCAATCATGTATTCCTCGCTGAAAAAAGTTCGATCGAAGAAACTGACGCTGATCGTAAGTTTAATTTTATGACGCTTTCAGAATTTCATTTCCAGTTTATACGATTAATTTATTATATCAAGCTTTAACTTAAATAATCTAGTGTTAATTAGTTCTTGAGGAGATGACAAAATTCATGATTGATATGACGTTATTATTCAATTAATTTCAGGTTACTTGTTTATAATCTACTCGTTTGAAGTATGTTAGTCGTACAAGCACATTATTATGTGATATCAGCATATTTTGATGTTATTACTAAATACAAATATATAAAAATATCTCAGCAGAAGAAGCAGCTATAATGGCGGATCATCATCATTCTTCTCAAGAAACAGAGGAGAAGACGAAAATCTCACCAGAAGTAGCAAAGGAAAAGAAGAATATCTCACCACCTAAAGTGGCGGAGCAGCAGACTACTGAGATCGATTTTGATGAAAATGATCATTCGATTGAAGAAACTGACACTGATCGTAAGTTTAATTTTCTGACGCTTTTAGAATTTCATTTCCAGTTATCCGATTAATTTATAATACTATCAAGCTTTAACTTAAATAACGTAGTGCTAATTAGTTCTTGAGGAGATAACAAAATTCATGAATGATATGACGTTATTATTCAATTAATTTCTGGTTACTTGTTTCTAAGTAAAAATTAGGGTTCTTAAGGAAAAGAAAAGATTTATGATCGATTTTGTTATCAAGACAATAAATATATGATATAAGCATATTTTGATGTTACTATTAATATTTTGTTACTTGTTAGTCGTACAATCACATTATTATTTGATATAAGCATATATGAAGACCATAGTTATTACTTGTTAGTTTACGGTATTAAACATATAAGCATCTTAATATGATAATATCTCACCACCTAAAGTGACGGAGCAGCAGACTACTGAGATTGATTTTGATGAAATTGATCATGTATTCACTGAAAAAGGTTCGATTGAAGAAACTGACGCTGATCGTAAGTTTAATTTTCTGACGCTTTCAGAATTTCATTTCCAGCTTATCCGATTAATTAATATTTAATACAATCAAGCTTTAACTTCAATAACCTAGTGTTAATTAGTTCTTGAGGAGATGACAAAATTCATGAATAATATGATGTTATTAGTTATTATTCAATTAATTTCAGGTAACTAGTTTATAATCTACTCGTTTGAAGTATGTTAGTCGTACAAGCATATTATTATTTGATATCAGCATATTTTGATGTTATTACTAAATACTAATATATAAAAATATCTCAGCAGAAGAAGGAGCTATAATGGAGGAGGAGCACATAATTGAGATTGATTATGATGAACTCGATGATGTATTCAATGAATTCTTTGCTGAAGAAAATGCTGACGAAGACGAAGAACCCGGTTTTATGACTTGGCCTAATATCTCTATTGATAAATTTTTTTATGAAATTGGAGCTTCGACTGTTCTTGCGTCTTATGTAGAAGCTCTCGAGTCCGGAAACATTGATGAATTCGGTCATGAGCTTGACGAACTTCGCAGGAAGCTTAGTCATTCTCTGTGTTTATGACAACCACGGCAGGTATACCAAGGAAAAACTAGTTTTGGTGCTGAAAATTCTCAAGGAACACATGATAAAATCCAAGTTTAGTGATCTCGCTGATCTCATTATCAAGTATGATCCAGAAAATTTTAATCTGGTGAAAGCACTGCAACTCGCAACGTGGTATGTGATATGCATTTTTAGTCTGGCAAATGAGGTTGAACCAGTAAAATTCGTTACAAGGGCTGTTATATACCCGATTCTTACAGAAAAATATGATGATGGAGACATTCTCTCTTCTGTAAGCAGCTTTCTGAGTTCTCAATACTCGACTTTACATAGAGTTGCATTCGTTGTACTTACTGGCTTGGCAAAGTTAAGCATAAAGAGAAACAGTCCAAAATTGTCGTCGATGATCCATAAAGCCGGAATTGTTGATGCCGTGTGCAACATGGACTTAACTACACACTCTGAAGGAGACCGAGAGCGTGCAAAAGTTTGTTCTGCTGCGCTTGGAGAAATGCCAAAGCTAGCACCCAAGGATAAAAAGGCTGCTGGTAAAGAACCTGTATTGGAGGAGCAGGTACAATGACTGCAATATTATTATTCTACTTGATCTGAAATCGAATCATGGTTGTTGAAGCGTGCTGTTGCTGGGGATCATACATGGAACTATGGAAGTGTTGCATATATACCTGTATAAATCGAAACGTTACCTTTGTTATATAAGAATTGGAGCTGTGATCATCTGTGTTAGTTGATAAGTATCAATATATCTAGTATGTAGTATAATAATGAGGCTAGCTGATGCTCAGAAGTGTCTGCTATAGTATAATTTTAGACTGTTAGTTGATAAATGTTTGTAGTAGAATAAACCTGCTTAGCATTCTTACTGTTGTTGCTGAATTGTATTCAATATCTTGAAATCTTGAATTCATGGTATAAAAGTATGTAGTATTATTAGTAT